TTTTTTTTTTTTTGGGCATTTCTTTGAGAATGTTTTCAACTTTAAGTACAACAAATACAATCCTTATGACACGATCATTCATTCCTATTCATATCCCTATAATGAAGCTAAGTATATACAATAAACAGACAGGCAGCATTCTGATTTTAATCCAATCACTATAATCATGCTACCTAAATATATGCTAAATATCCAATAAATGCACAGATTAAACAACATAGCAATCACAAATCACTAATATACAATATAGATATTAAAAAATTAGCACCTAAATCACTACAAAGGGCAGGCCTGATAAATGCCAAATGGGTTTCTAGTTAAAGATATTTGCAGCAAGTCCCCTTTTTTTCCGCCAATCTCCAATTAGATCCTTATATAAACGACTTCAAGGTTGGACCAGATGACTCATAAAAAGAAAGTAGACAGAACATGAAATGTCTAATTGACTTACAGAAAATGTAAAGTGAACTGGAAAATTCCCCAAAAGAAGCTCCCCTTGGAAGAGTCTGGCTGTGAATTCAGAATCACTATCGAGCGTACCTCTAAATGTGATGTTTCCTCCACCACTATAAGATGCTTCCTTCACACTGTAGTTAACAAATGTACGTTATATCACTAAACTTATCTAATTTCATTAACTTAGTACACCACAAAATGACAAATAATAACCCAATGACAACGATTTTCTTTTCAAGAGTCGTGAATTTAAAAATAAAACAATTCAAAAATAAGTTTATGAGAAAGAAACCATTCCAATGTTTCTTCTTAACACCAATCACGGTGAATATTATGTATAAAATAAGGTAAGAGTCAGAACCACGACCAATACGTTTTAGAAACAAGATACATGCTGATGATAAACTGAATTATGAAACATGTTTAGGAGACACCGTATATAATAAATGATATGATTAAATACAACAGCTTACCCAATGGAAACCTGGATTGGCCGAGTGTTACTGTTAGTGAACTCAATAAACGGCTGTAATGGTATTCAGAGTTAATAAAACATGGACAAAAAGAAAAAGGGAGAGAAAATGAGACAAGTTAGAGGTAAGCTTATGAGCTATTTGAATAGTAAAAAATATGTTAAGCAGAACTTGTATCGGTGGCATACCTGAATACTTTGGCAAGAGATGTTATTCCAAGGAGTACACAGCACTTGCTTACCATCAACAGAAATATGGTAACCATGACCCTGTGAGGTCAACTCAACAATATTATAGACTTGCTTTTATTATGGACAGAATAATTTAAACAGACAATTGCTGCATCAACATCTGATGGTTGAAAAGCAAACTAATACCGACATTTATTTATTGACATGGTGCATTCATGCTTCAAATTTCAATAGGCTCAGCCATACTGTTTAATAAAAATGGAATACTTGCGTTTTACTCTTTTCCTTCTTACTTACTGTTGTTGTTTTTATTCTTATATATTCTAGTGAATGCAGATGAGGAGTGGAAATGAAAACGTTGCTTCTGATTGACCTTATAACGGTTACATAGTATAATAGGTACCTGATCAAAATTTGAGTAGAATGGCAGTTCTTTGGGCTGTTTCTGAACAGTTCCCCATGATTTCTCAACAAGTCCCCACCATCTGTTAATTTAATCAACATTGAGTGAGTTGAGAGCTTCCATAGATGCTCCATACCAAAACAATGGATGATAATCGCTTTGAACTTAAAATTAGACTAGTGAGATGCATAAATATCACTGACAAAAGCATAGGTGATCTTTCAGATCATAACATAGGAATAATTAGACCATTACATAGGAAAAAACATTTATTATTCTTTCTAATAGAAACCTTATCACATATTTGTAATAATGGATTTAACAGGATAATTGGCAGTCTTATCACTTTTGTTTTTCTTCTTTTGAATATAAATATTTAATAAAAATCTTATCATTAAAGAAAAAGACATTCATATACAGTAATGATTATCGTTCCAAACCGGATCATTTATGTTAATTCATCCATAATATGAATATAATGGTAATGGAAATCTTCGTTGATCTTATCATTTTCTTATTAATCGTAAAATGAATATAAAAGTCGGTTTTTTTTCCTGCTAATTAATTTTTACTAAACCAATAAAATTAAAGGACTGTTGATATATTTTATTTTTCAAACTTAATAACTATTGTATTGTTATCTCATTTTCTATATTCGATATATTGAATTAATAATGATATCTACAACGTGATTTTTATTATATTTAGGTTGTCCTACTGAAAAATTTAATACATACATATATAAATGAATGCAAACAATTATGTGAATTGTTTAATATTTTTATCAATTTTGCTACAGAAGCAACAATTGGCTCCTTAATGTTAAGGAGCCAACATCCTACACATAGCAATTGAAAAATACCATATTTTCTAGTTATAACAACTACTTGCCAATAACCACAATGAAAAAAGTAAAAACACTTATATGTTTTTAAATTTGAATTTTAAAAAAATTGAATACTACAAAAAGTTGGACTGTTTTTTCAAATTATGTTGTACAGATTATTATTAATTCTAATGTTTAACTAAAAGAATTCAAAGAAGTTTTTCATAATTTGGAATAATATTACAATTTTTTGCAATATATCGTTTGTTCAAATTCAAATACAAGAATGTAAAGTGTTTTAAATTCTTCGTCATGGCTATATCAAGTAGTTGTTAACTGTATCTTTAACTAATTAAATAATACAGTAGTTTACTTGTTTGTTTCCATTATAGAATCAGGAGTTGGCTCTATAGCAAAACTGTATTTTATACATATGACATCACTGACTTAATGCATAAACATTCTATAATATTTGGCCGCGCATAGCTGTGCACTAATTTTAGTATAAAGCAAAAGACAAGTAAATAATACGATGAGATAAATGCATCAAAATGAAGCCGCATTACCGATTTTGAGCAGTCTGGAAGTCAGGTGGTTGCTTAGTCTCATGGACCCATCCAGGGCCAAATATGGCTGCTGAGACCTCATTTTTCTTTATCACATCAAGGGCAACATGTGTCTGCAAAGAGCAAGGAATTAAAATTTAGAAAACAATTAAAAAAAAAAGTTCCTACATCAATTTACAGAACTTCAATAGAAGTTTTCAACTTCGAACTCCATATTCAATTTGAACTCTTGAAATTAAAATATTTGAACTTGCCAGAAAAGGAATGAAGGAAACATTTCAGTTGGGTTGATTAGGTAAATATGGATGGCATAATATTAAAAGCAATCAAATTAGAAATGTGGATGCAACTAAAATGAACTTACCAACATTACCAGTTTCTAAATTCTTTCCAGTGTAGGATAAAGATGTTGACCCGTAATAACTTAAGTCAATTTATAAAGCATTTTTCTCTTGTAGAATCGTACCTATCCAATCATCTCGACTAGAAGGGAACAACTAACATACTTAAATTCTTTTCCAGTGTAGGATAAAGATGTTAATCCGTAATAATTTAGTCAAATTATAAAGTACTTCTCTCTTGTAGAATCGTACCTATCCAATAATCTCGACTAGAAGAGAACAACTAACATACTTCCTGTTTCTCGGTATAATCTTGTTAATCAATGGCTCATTCTCCTAACATAAGGAAAGCAAGCGAAAAACAGGGGCATAAATGGCTAGCAGAAATCTAAATATTTGACAAACAATTACAGCACTAAGGTGTTGGTTATTGTAGTCAATAGCTTATTCTCATTACATAAGAAAAACAAATGAAAAACAAGGACCCAAGGCATACTAGCAAGTAGACATATTGTTTGACAAAAGACTAAATCACTATGTTGGTAATAATAGTAATAACTAGGATTGGTATTTTTTTTTTTTTTTCAGAAAACCGAAAATCCAACTTAACCGAACTGAACAGAAGTTGAAAAAAGAAACAACGAACCCGTTTCAATCAAAAACCAAAAAACCAGCTTAACCTAACCGAATTAGATTGCGGCGCGGCCAGAGGAGATGGCCGGGCAGGAGGTAATTTTTTTGTATGAGTGTAAGAGAGAGAGAGAAGAGAGGGGATAGAGAGGAGGTTGGTGTCGGACGGTGGCGACTCGTGGGAATGTCGGCGGGTGGCCGCGGAGATTAGTGTCGGACGGTGGCCATTATGTATGTGTGTTTTGTGTGTGTGAGAGAGAGGGATCGGGGAGAGAGTGTGGATGAGTGGGCATGGGTAGTGTGTAGGGTGGGGCCGACTGGTAGAGAGAAAAATGTTCATAATGTTCTTCATGAGTGTAAGATCTTGGGTTTTTTTTTTCATTGGATTATCCGATCTGATGCCTAGAATGTGTTATTATTTCCTTCATTGAGGACTATTCTCACAGTAACCCATCCTCATACATATATATTTACATTTAATATCCCAATAACCAGGTCTCCTCTTACTCGCCTCTCGCTGTCAGCTAAATAATAGAAAGGAAAAGTGGAAAATAGAAAAATCGATCCACAAAGTCACAGGACTCGCGGTTAAAAATTTCACCGAATCTTTGGATTTCACAGGCGGGGTCTAGCGGTGCAACTACTGGCAGACTGTGCTCTCCAACGATGCAGTTAGAGCCCAAGCAAACAGTGGATCATATTTGGACCCGACTTCCAACACTGGTGATGGCTAACTAAGGGTCGGTTGGAGTTTCCATGTATTGTGGGACGGACCACTAGCGGCGGCAGCTCATATCTGGATAAGTGTGGGCGGCGGCGATTCACGCATTGTGATTTTGATGAATCACTGGTGAGGGTGTACTCGGGCTTCTAACAACCATGGTGGGGATGGTTGCTCTCGATTTTTCGCTTCCAGACCAACAACAACAACAACAAAGCCTTTTAGTCCCAAACAAGTTGGGGTAGGCTAGAGATGAAACCCAATAGAAACAGTAGTATAAAAAA